TATTTAAAAAAAATATATAAGTTTGAAGATTTTTATTAAATTTTTTTTTATTAAAAATAAAACTTGATTCACTCTGTATAAAAACGCAATTTAATTTATAAAAAAAACTCGCCAAATTTTTGAGTTGACGATAAAACTTGGAAACAGAATCAAAGTTTTAAACAATTTTCTTTTTGTATGGCTGTAGAAAAAATACTCAAAATTATTTATAATTCGTTATTTAAAAAAAGTTATAAGATGAAAATTTAAACCTATTTTTGTGAAAAAAAAAACTCGCCAAATTATTCTATTAATTCATTGTTTGAGTTGGCAATAAAACTTGACTCACCCTGTATGGAAACAATCGAATTTTCAAACAGCATTTTTTATAAGATTTGAATTTTTAAATCAGTACTAAAACATAACTCACCCTGTATAAAACAAAGTTTTTTTTCTGTTAAGAGTGAAATTAAATTTGTAATATTTGCAAAAAATAACAGAAAATTGTATAATTTTGTATTTACTTTTAATTTTGTGTTTCTAGTTTCAAAAAATTTTAAAAACTTTCAAAAAAAAAAATTATTAATTTTTATTAAAAAAAAAGAAAACTTTTTGATTTTCCAGTAAAACTTTATTGCTTCTGACTAAAAACAAAATTTAATTTTTAACAAATTTTTGTAAAAAAAACTTGTTAAATTATTTTTTTTATTCATTGTTTGAGTTGACGATAAAACTTGATTCACCCTGTGTGGCAAATGTCTACACAATGGTCACTAAAAATCCTTAATAAAACCTTTGTCATTTTATAAAAAAATACAGAAAATTACTTGTAATTTACTATAAAAACATAATATGTTAGGTAGTTAATAAAATTTGATTCACCCTGTAGAAAAACAAAATCGCATCTTAATTTTGTGTTTCAAAATTTTCAAAAAAAAGTCAAAATCAAAATTATTAATTTTCATAAAAAAAATTGTTGAGTTTTTGAATTGACAGTGAAACACAATCCAACCTGTATAAAAACAAAATAATTTTTTTAAATAAAACTTTTTTATTGATTCTGGACAAAAATCAAAATAACTTTTTAATCTATTTTTGTAAGAAAAAAAAATATTTGACGAATTATTTTATTTATTTATTGTTTGAGTTGAAGATAAAACTGATTCACCCTGTTTAAAAACAGAATTTTTAAACATAAAACTGTATTTTTATACAAACTTTTAGAATTTTTGAGTCGTCGGAACATGACTCACCCTGTATAAAAACAACTAAATTTTTCTTTAAAAGTTGTTTTTTTTTAATTTTATAAAAAAAAACAAAAGAAATATTTGCAAAAAATAACAGAAAATTTTTTTTTCAATTTTGTGTTTCTAAAGTTTCAATTTACGAGTGTTTTTGTTAGTTTTTAACTCGAACCACGTCGAAAAACAAAATTAAAACACAACGTTGATTCTGAAAAAAAAAAAACAAA